GCAGAGGGGATGGGGAATAGCCATCATCTGTTAGAGCAGCTTGGCTTAGCCTTGGAGCTAAACCAGCCCCTGACGGCGTCAGGATGGCTGAAGGGAAAGGCTGCAGCTGGCAAACCGTGTCTCTCCCCTCCACTGGCTACCAAATGCCTGTCTTGGGCCGGCATCCAGAGTGCTGCCAGGCTGCTCCAGTCGTCCGTGCAGGCAGAGCTCTCGGATAGGTAATGAGAGAAGAGATTTCTGGCTCACAGGCAATCAGTCAGTTAATTATCACCAACTTTCACAGTTGACATGATGTTCACTGAAGGGGAGCAAGGAGAGATTGGCAGGTGGTGTGTTTTTTTACTGGAGGGGTAAGTGAACAGGGAGTACTAAATAGTTTCTATGGTACCATTTCTTACCAGACCTAAATCACATCTTTTGTCCAGAGATACACTTAATGCAGCTAATAGATTTCTTTTTCCAGTTGTTATCCTGGTATTCCCTGTTTTACTGTATGTTCCAGCTTCCTGATTGAGCTGTTCTCTGGTAGGCTGTAGTGGGTATGCATTTCATTTTCCATCTCAGGTATATGATTACTTATTTCTGAAAAGTAAAATGATGAAGCTATAAATACAGCAAGTGTTACTGTGAGAGGAATGAATTCTACCAAACATTTAGCTTTTGAGAGAGTCTTGGGCTCAGACAATGAGAATCTGGCACTGGCTGCTGGGCTGGGCTCAGTCTCTCAGTTGTAAGCCATGACAAATGGCATTGGAGACCTTGAGTCATCTTGCCTGCTGGCAAAAGCTGCTCCAATAACTAAAAGTGAATAAATTGTTCCCAGCAGATGCTGGTTCTGTAAAACATCTTGATACCTCTGTCAGCATCACAGCCCGGGCCTGCTGGCTCCGGCCTCACAGCAAGCCCGGCCCTTCCCGGAGCATCTGGGTAGACAGCAAACCTTTCTCTGGGTTTTAGAAGGGGATGGCAGGGTGATCCGAGGCTTGCTCAGGGATTTCCAGCCTGAAGGGCAGGCGCTGGAGCCCGCGGTGTTTGCAGGAACACAGTGCAGGGCCGTTCCCCTGCTCAGTCCCGCCTGCCACACACGGGCCCTCGGGACCCAGCGCCTGCAAATCATTAAATCGAGTAAGAGCAGGGAAAAAGGCAAACTCATCAATACATTCCTGTGCTAAATACTAGCTATTGAAGTAAACCAGTGCATTTTTCTCTTACAAACCCCCCCGGAGAAACTAGCACTACCAGCAGCTTTGCAGTCACAGTGTAACAAGGACAAGTGGGAGGAAATTCTTCACATGAACAGCCAGGTCTGTCATTAAGAGCTTATGATTCCCTTCCCAGAGGGAGGTAACATTGGTCCCTGTCCCCCAGCTTTCCACACATCTTTTCCTTGTGCCTGTGTCAAGCACAGGCACCTACAGTTTTGGTTTCCCGTCTGGTTTTCCTCCAGCCGTCTTTCTCAAGCAATCATTGTGCTCGTGTCTTCTGCAACAACTTTTATCTTCAGGGGTGCACTTAATGGGAGAGCTGGGTACAATAGGCACCCTTATCAGGCGACAGCATGTACCTCCTGAAAAGCCAAATGCACCTGGAAATTGTTTTGTTATGCTACGAGCTTCAGTGCTTTATAGGACAGAGCTACCCAGAGAGGACGTGGGTTCCCTGGCACACTGTGAGATTAGTGTAAGAGAGCTCCATTTATTCATTCAGATGGAAAATGGAAGGGTTGACGTTTCCAAGCAGGCCAGATTATCAAACACAGGCTTGTTATTTCTGCTAATAAGGGGAAGAAATGCAGCACATCCTTTTTCAAACTGACACTTCTGAGTTATTTCAGTAGTGGGATTGGGCATGGGTAAGATTTATCACACGGTCCCAGCTGCACTTTGTTTAGAGAAGTGATAAAAGGTCTCCTGTCAGAGTGCAGCGCTGCTGCCAAGGGAAACAGGAATACAAATTTCTCTGTTGCTTCAACCAGGGCATCTGAACCCTTTTTTGCCTCATTTCCTTAGGAAGTGAAGCTTATGCAACCACACTGCCTGTCTGTCTGCCACCATTGCTTCCTCCTCCCTCCCTGTCTTGATTTCTGAATTTGGCTCATTTCAGATAAATTTGAGAGAGGGAAGAAGGCCCCAGCTAACGTGGAAAAACAGTGGTGAGACAGGAGAAAGACTTACATGGGTATCCCATGAGGGAAAAAGTTTTGGTATCCCAGGCCCTTACCCATTCCACAAGCAGCAAAGGAGCTTCAAAACAGCAGCACAAGCTCTGCTCTCAAGCTGCCGTGGCACGTACTGCCTCTTCCTTTTTAATTTATCTATTTTATCTTTAAACAGGTAGCTACCAAAGGCAAGGAGAAAGTAAAGTGACTTGCCAGAGTTGCCGCTGTCCATCAGTTCTGTGGAAGTCGGCCCAGGGAAGGCAGACCCTCGGTGATGGGTATCTCAAGTGAAGAGGCACAGAGTCACAGCTGCAGTTTCTGGCGTGGAGCAGAAGGTCTAATTGCAGATCACTGTGTGGGGTCTGCGAAGCCAGCACACTTGCTTGGATTTGATTTGCAATGCGCAGCGAGCACCTAACATCTTTGGGAATTAAATTAACAAAGGGTGTCATTCCTCTCACAGGCATACCCGGGATTAAATGAGAATGGCTGCAAGCAGTTCACAGTTTCCCGGTGTTTATGTGAGGAGCAGAACACTCCACACGTGTTTAATAGGACTGATAAAATTAAAGTCCGTTGAATGGTACATCTGCTCAGCCTTAAGTGAGAGTGCTGCCATCAAGTTTACTCAGCAGTGAAACCAGCCTCGTAAAACCTTTCTAGGTACGACAGCACCTGGGCGCTCGCCAGCACGGGGAGCAAACCGGCTGCAGGCCGGGGCTTGGGGCCCGTTCTGGGGTATACTGATTCTGTTTTCACAGTGACAGCGGTGACAGCCCTCGGTTCCTCAGAGCGCTCCCAGGGGGCCCTTCCCGACCCTTGGGGCGGTTCCTTGCGGCCCCCCCGCCCCAGGGTGACACCGCTTGCAGGGCTGCGGCCCCGGGCCCGGGGACG